AAAATGCAAATAAAATTAAGCACAGAAATGTATGTTGGATGTGCCCACCAGCCATGCCAGAGGTGGGGCATTCAGCTGCAGATAATTAAGCTCCAGGGAACTAAGCTGTCCGTTATAGGCTACAGAAATGAGAGCTGGGATATTTAGCAATAGTGGTGGTTCTGAGGTTTATTTTTTCTTCAGTTTGGGTTGCATGTGGTGTGCTGTTGGGGGGTTTCTGTTTGTTTGAAGGCAAATTTTAGCACGCTCCTCTGCTGGCTTACAGAAGTATTCAGGACATGTTTCTGGACTTTCACTTTATTCTGCTTTGTCATTTTCTGTTGGCAGAACACAGTACCCATCTGGCACAACGCTGCAATTTGTGCTATGAATCTGAATGCTGAACTTGCAGAATACAATACAGTCTTAGGACTACTTTTCATTGTAACGCTTTTTTATATTGTGTCTGGCCTAAAGGTGGAAAAAAAGCAGCCTTCGTCAGTCTTGTCTTTCCCTTTTTTTCATTCAGAAATGAAGGATAATAAATGAAAGTGTTTTTCATAAAGAGCACATATATGACAGAGTGCATTGTGCTTTCCTAAATTAAAAGGAAATATCTAAAACTAAACGTGCCTGCTCTTGTAAACCCCTGTTGTCTACCTTCTCTTTGTCATTTGAAAGACATTTTGAAGGGAAAGGAACAATTCCAGGAATATATTCAAAGCTATTTCACTTTTAATCTGCTAATACTGAGTTTTAAACCCTTTAATATATATTTGAACTAAATTATAGACAGCATATACAACTCAGAAATGACAAGGCACTATGTAAAGATAGCGTATAGCTTTCCTTCCCCCTTCATTCATGCTGGACCGTCATCTGAGTTGAGCACTAGGCTAAGGCTATTTCCTGCCTCTATCTCAGACTTCCTTGTACAAACCAGAGCAAATCAGCTAAGCCTGGCTCCTCCCATGCTTAACTGTGCTGATCAACTCCTTACTCTGCAAATAGTCAGTTAAGCAAATTAGAGACCAAAATGTGTTGCCATCTGAATTAAGACAGTGTAAATGCAAACACATCTGTAACACTTGGTTAAAAGTACTTATTAACATGTTGCAACAGTGGTAGGGGTGATTAGGTGTGTGCATTTTAAATCTTTTCATTTCTATATTTGAATGAAACGAGGAGAATCAGCCTCCATATGTCTGAAATGTACAGAGCAGAAACCAAAGGTCAGTATGCAAAAGTAGCTTAAAGATTTCCTTTACACATCTACATGATCTCCTGTTTTAGATGCTTCGCTAAAATGTGTTTTCTGATTAAATGAACACTCTCCTGCCTCTCAGAGCCTCTCATGGGCTTTCAGTAGCGTTTTGCCCTCACGGGAGGGGTACCTCCGTCTTCCCTGAAGCACAGTGCGCATCGTAGGCACTTGCCTTCCTTTACCCAGGGGAGCCTTTATTTCTCCTCCGGGACTTGGCAGACTCCATTTCCACACACCTCAGCACAAGGCTGGCTCCTTTTCTGATCAGTCCCCTTGGGACACCTGCAGTGGCAGCCAGCAGAGTGGCAAAAAGCCAAAGCCTTCATCTTCTCCTGGTGTCTCTTGCCATGGTTTATGGGAAGCACTTCCAGCAGTGCTGCTCCTCCCGCTCTGTGCATCATCGGTGTGCTTCCCTTGTGGCAGTGCTCCCATCCTCCAGGGTGAGGCCTGGGGTAAGGGTAGCAGTATAGGGAAAAAGGGCAATGCAGCAGGTCTGGGGATGTGCCACCTGTGAATGAAGTTTATTGCCTTAGGAGACAGCCCAGCCCCAAAGCACACCTGGCTCCCCATGCCCACTGCAAGCTCCCTCAATGCTGCTTAAACCAACATCATCACATCATGTATCCATTAGGGGCTAGAAGTCTCCCAGGCAAAAATCTGTCCTTTACCATCACAGTAAGGATGAGCTATAAGCCCCTCTGAAATGACTCTAGAACTGAGTTCAGGACTACCCTTCAGTGCTTGTCCCGTTTCACACTGGCAGGCAATGCAGCACAGAAATGATGCAGCATGCTTGAGGAACTCATTCAAGGTCTTTAATAATTCATGTCCTCCTTCTGCTAATTAATATCCAATGCAGTGAGTGGAGATAACAGACCATTTTTTATTGGCCAAAGAGATGTCCCAAAGTGTCAATTCCTTGTCTGTCATGCTTACTTGTGGAAATTCTGATGGCATAAAGAGAAACATAGGTAATGCAGGACAAATAGAAGATACAGTTGAACCCTTATGGAAGAAAATAATATTTTCATTTAGAGGTTAGTGGTAATAGTAACTGAGAAAATAAACTAGGCATTCAGATCTTTCCCTGTCATAAATAGCCAGATTTATTCCTAAATAGAATGTTTACAAAATTTCTAGTGGCATTTCAGCTGTTCATTGAAGTGTACTGTAGAATATAGTGACAATTTATTACACAGCTATAAAAGCAGTAGTCATCATTATAAATGCAAACTTTCAGATGTTTGTCTATGCTTTAAATCTTTTTTTTTTTTTTTCCCTTCACTGCATCTAGTGAAACAGTGATTGTAGCAATCGGTATGAAGGAGCCACCTCCTCCAACAGCTGCCAATATACTAATCTGTTTTATACAACAGATGGGAGATATGCGCAGGCTAAGATAAGTGACCACCTGTAAAATATGGTTCTAGATATGTGCCAAACTGGCCAGTCATATAGTCAGGAACAAAACAAGGCAGAAAAAGAAGGCAGCTGTGCTGACCACCCACATCTGAAATGACAGGGGAACATTTACTCTCATGGATGGATGCCCTCATTTCAAGCAGAGTTGGGAAAATGTTGTTATGCAACACTAATGCATACAGAAACTGAATTTCTGTACCTTTTGTGTGGTTTTCCATTACCTTTGAGGCATCTGATCTGGTCTGGGCTCTGGCTGCCACAGCAAAACTTGCTGCTATGGGTGCCTGCTTGTTATCGTATTGGTTCCAGTCTTCAAAGGGCACCTGCCTCAGCACTTGCGAATTTGTCTGGCAATATCAGTGTGCTGAATTTGGTGATGTGCTGCAGTCTTCTTGTGAGCTCAGCTAATCAGTGAACAGTGACAGCCTCAGGTGACGTATTTGACTAACTGGCAGCTAATCAAGCATATTTGAATTTTGCATGTCACATATTGGCAGCAAACTGTTCACAACATATTCATAAAATACATCTTGAATTAATTTAAGAAATGCTTTTCGGGCAATGCTCATCACTTTACAGATCTGCAGGGTGGTGAAGTAGTTCACATGCATCTGAAAAATTGTCTGTTGAATTATTCATTCTATTTTATCTTTTTAAATTTTTTATTTCTTTTTTTTTATCAAATAACAGACACATTTTTTTTTCCCCAAGAGTTCCACAGTTAGTGTTAATTATCAAAATGTTGTAGCTAACTGCTACTAGCGGTCACCTTTTCATCATTTTCTCTTCCTTTTTTTGAGTTTGAAACACCACTAATTATGATGTCTAGAAAGCTTTCTAGTTTTGTCATGTGGAATCAAATGGCATAAGGAGTCAAAATGTATGAATATGGCTGCTGTATTGCACTGTGTGCACAGTGAAAATGGCAAGTGAAGGCTTTATTTTCATCTAATGACAGAAATATTGAGTAATTAGCATATGTTTATGTATTTTTATTAGGCAGATAATTAGCAGCTGGAGAATACAGTGTTGTAGAGATGACCTAGATTTTATTATGTTATTGTACCATTCAGAAACAGACCCAGTTTCTGAACTACTTAGGTGTGCAATTACACAATGGAATTGTCCTCCTAAAATACATTGACAATTACCAGAATTGTGCATGCCACTGGGAAATTGCTCATACTAATTACCATCGTTAGCTACTTGAATACAAAATATCTGCAAATGCTTGAGGAATTAGACATAAAATGGATTCTCTTCTTTCAGGTCAGCTGTGTATGCATCTCTAAAGAGTAGGGGCCCAAGATTAAGACTGTAATTAGGTTACAGATTTTTCTTTCATATACCTGCAATCATCCATGTGAGATTTACATTTTAAAATGGAAAACTTCGTTAATATCTTAATTCGTTTACTTCGTAATACTCAGAGAATATTAAAGATGTTCCAATAAAAATATTGAAGAATACTTTATCCATTGATTAATCGTTTAAAAATAAATATCCCCACAACAAATTGTATTGCATAAGAGACATGACTTGGATCACTTTTTGTGACTCACATCTTTATAGGATGGCTCAGACTGTGAAGACAGCCGGCATTTTCAGAGGATAAAGCATCTCACAAGGTGGAGGATTGTAGCTACAGGTTATAACCTTTGCTAGTTGACTCTAAGTACATATGGCAGAAGTACTGTGATTTGTGCATATTACCTATGGGGGGTTTTTTGTTTGTTTCTGACTACTTGTGCATCTCATCTGTCACTGGTATTGGAAAGTCGGGGAATATTATCACCTCAGGAACACAACTGTGGTTTTTAAACTTCTAATTTGACATCAAGTCATGTAAAGCTGCTTCCCTAGCCTACATTTTCTCACCTTTCAGCTTAAGTCAGAAATAAAATAAAATTGAAAGCACATCAAACCGTTCCAGGTGCCCCAAGTTCTTGGAATTGTTTCCCAGGTTATGATGCACCATGAGTGCATTTGCATGTTATGTATGTTCTGCTTACCCTATTTGCCTATACACTCTTGAAAGCTCCATGAGAAGCAGCCCCATTACATGGGTATATACGTGGGTGTCAGTCACAGCACCAGCAGGTCTGATCAACACCAGGTTTTCACAGAGGAACAACCCCTTCAGAGATGCAGAGCCCCTACCATTCCTACCAACTGGATTTCAAGAAGTGAATGTTCAGCTGCTGTGTTTAGGATCACGCAGCCAATCTTACTATTGGGCCTCTCCTTTCTTTACCTCACTCCTGGTAAGGCCATTTAGATTTGATGAAATATCTTTTTTCCTTTTTCTTTTTTTCTTTTTTCCCAAACCTCCCAGGATATCCAGTGAACACTCGCCAAAGCTTCAGATCCGGAGCCACAGTTACTTGAGGGCAGTGAGCGAAGTCTCCATCAACAGGAGCCTGGACAGCCTGGACCCCGCAGGGCTGCTGACATCCCCCAAGTTCCGCTCCCGCAACGAGAGCTACATGAGAGCCATGAGCACCATCAGTCAGGTGGGTGACACACACCCACAGCGGCCCGGAGAGCTGCCATGCTGGACACCAGCCAAGCCCTTGCAATAGAAGAAACTGGATTTTGCTTTAAGTGGAATCAGGCTATGGCATGCCACACATTTTCAAAACATCTTTAAGAAAACAGAAATGTTTTCACACAATCTTGGTTTTGAGAGGGTAACATTTGATAATGCCATAACCTGCCCTTTGCAAATGGATGAGTGGCACAACATGCAATTTGTTTGAAGGAGCATTCCTGGTTTTTATTTTTCTTTTTCGAAAGCAGGTGCTCTACAATAGTGTCTTTAAACAGGGTTCTCTTAAGGATCTTGTGCTTAGTACCTGACATCGAATTTGTTTGAATGCCTCCAAAAAAAACACATGTTCACATGCTGAGTGAGATGCTAAGGAAAATTAAGTCTGTAATATTTTGCATTTCACAATTTTATTAGTATTTTATCAGAATTTTTAAAGCTTTCTTTATGCTGTTGTATACATTCTTAACCCCGTGCACCTCTGAACTTTTCACTTATATATTACAAATGTCACAGTATGTATATTAACTGAAAAGGTATTATTGCCCTGAAATTCTGCAAGATCTCTTCATGCTCATTCTAAACTAAAAAAAAAACAAAAAAACAAAAAAAAAAACAACGTTGCTCTAACACATTCAGTTTATGAGTTTTAACATCATAAAATAGCCTGTCCTTGCATACAACATGCTTGTATGATTGAACTGATGAGGAACAGATCTGAAAGAAATGCTAAAGTGCCACAGGGCAGTGGGCCAGTAGTTCATCTGCTAAATCCTGTAGCTCCTTGGTATGATTTTTTACTTGTTTACTTAAGTGGATCATTTGGATAAATTAACCTGGATAAAATAATTTTCTTACACTAGTCCAGAAGTAGATCAAGGCGGGATTTTCCGTGCCAGATACTGTCCCCTGATTATTGGTATGTCAAGTCATTGCAGTGTCAAAAAAAGCAGGTGACATCGTTGATGCCAGGATTTCCATTGTGGCCATAATAAATACATGTCTCATTCAGAATGGAGCTGTAGTTTGAACTTCTGTGGTACTCTACATAAGCATTGCAACCTCAGAGTATTCACCTGTGTATTTTATAGTAAGGCACTTTGCACAGGGTATGGGCTGAGGCTCCAGAAGTTGGGTCAGGATGTACCTAGGAGGAAACAGCACTGAAATTCAGTTCTCAGAGGCAACTATATGAACATTAGCTTAGGTTACTTATTTAGCTGGACACATAACACACAAAGCTGTCTGCCAAAGAATGTGTGTTATTTGCCAATATGAAGAAGTTGGGGTTTTATATAAAAAGCATTAACTCAAAGATATTTATTTGGGAATATGGCTATTCTCCACCATTGTAAGATTGTTCTTTACTATGTACTATTCACTACTCTTCCATGCTCTTTTAAGGAGTTTCACTTTGAAAAAATATGTTCTACTCTTTGATATTTCCCTTTTCATTTATGTCTACACTTACTCAGCCTGATGTTTTCCTTGGTAAAATTCATCCTGGAAAAGTTTCTCATGGTTTTTTCCCTCCACCTTAACACAATCTTATCTTCCCTTGCAATCTTGGCCTTTTGCATACTTGAAAACTAACAAAATCCTGAAGTGATGGTTTCCATGTGCATGTTCCCTACAGTGATAATTATCGTGCTTTGATGTCAAGCTCAGAGCTCTATTCTCAGTTTAGAAACATGAGCCTCCATTGCTAATTAAGCCGAGGTAAATGGTGTCCAGGTTTGTAAGACCCGCAGTGAGGCCACATGCTTTTGAATGGTCTTTAACCTGCGTGAGTGCAAGTCTTTGTCACCACCTAGTGTCTGCTCCAAAAAAGGTCTAAGGATTCCTTTGCTTCTCTCACTCTCAACCAAAGGAGTCAGCCCAGAGATGTAGCCACAGAAACATTTTTCCCCTGTGGCAAAGCTGGTTCCCTTATCAACCTGCCCCTCCCAACTATTTGTTACTACTTCTACCTTTGAGCTTCCCAACCCCTCAGGTTTATCACTGTGAGTGCCTGTGGGTTGCATTGATGGGTACTGGGGTTAAGCTGACTTTTTTTTCTCACCCCCCAAAGAGTGATTTTTGGTTTCGAATCTAATGGTCATGATGGCCAGAGGTTCAACCTCTGCTGTGGGCACAGGCTCAGATAAACCAGACACGCTATGAGGACTCCCAGCTTCCCACCAGTCTCGGCAGGAACCAAGAGATTAAACTCTGCTAAATCTCCACCTAAAGCTTTCATCTCCTCTTTTTATACATTTTTTTCCCCAACAATTGTTGCTTTGTAAAACATGACAAATTTATGTTCTTCATGTATGAAGGGATCTTCTAACAGATGTCGGCCATTGTGCCACTGTAACTTTTGAGTGTTTGTACCGGGTAGGCTGTTGTATGGGGTGTACTGAACCTGCCCGGTCTTTGCCTGCAGGTGAGTGAGATGGAGGTGAATGGTCAGTTCGAATCCGTCTGCGAGTCGGTGTTCAGTGAACTCGAGTCTCAGGCAGTGGAGGCACTGGATCTGCCCATGCCAGGATGCTTCCGCATGAGGAGCCACAGCTACGTCAGGGCCATTGAGAAGGGCTGCTCACAGGACGATGAGTGCATATCGCTGCGGTCCTCATCTCCCCCACGTACAACCACCACGGTGAGGACCATCCAGAGCAGTACTGGTGAGTAACAAAAAGGGAAATCCAGGGGGGGTGCGGAAAGGGAAGGAACCTTTCTGTGCAGCTCCATCAGATCAAGGATGGGCTCATCTCTGTCAGACACGAAGCCTAAAAGAGAGTCTGTGTTTCACCAGGGAGCTGGACAAACTAATCAGCCTAAAACTATGCACAGATCAAGGCTGATGAAGTTGTGGTGCCTCCTACATCCAAGCTAATTTATTCTGGGCTAAAAGCACATAGAAGGGGAGTCCAAGGTCATGTCTTCTCTCGTTCTCTTCCCCAAAAGAGCAATCACAATTTGGCACGGCTCTGGGTTAGCAGCTCTGCTGGCTCTTACCAGCAGAGGAAGATCCCTCTGCTGAGTTTTTCTACAAAGGTGAGGTGATATTTGTCTTTTCTTAAAGTTGCAAGTTATTGGATATATTGTTTAATGGCTCAGAGAGACTGTTACAGCTCTCTAGGCTGTATCTCAGAGGTGGGAATGAAGAAAGGAAGAAGAGGTCTGCAGGTCAAAGCATGCATGTTCACATCCTGCTGTTATTCTTTCTGCAGTTCAAACTATTCAGACCTTGAGAGAGAGGTTTTGGTCTAAATGTGAGACTTACAAACCTTCCTTTTAATGTTTGAGGCTGCTTTTCTTTTGGAAATAACCATGATGAATTCCAAATTCTGGCACTAAAATTACTACTAAAGGGGAATGAAAAGCAAGTCAGAAACCAAAACCCAAATCTGCCTCTCATTCAGGAAAGCAGGAGGCAGAAACCATTACATGTGTATGCTCTTCCCTGGCAGAGTATGAGAGAGGACCTCTTTCTTTTGACTTCTCTGCATCCGTTCCACTGCTTTACACAAGCTTCATATTCATGACTAATATTGACTATTATTTCACTGTACCTACTACTTCTTTTCACAGTTCTTCAATTTTTGTTTTCTGTGCTCTAAACTTTTGCCTTTTTGTGTGTTATCTCACAGGTGCAGTTGTTTATACCTTGTAAGTTCCTTATCTCTCACTCCAGTCTTTTTTAAAGCCGCTTGTCAATTGGTTTATGTCATCAAAGGACTTTCAAACCTTTTACCAAAAAAGCTAAGCTTAATTCATGATTTTTCTAAACGTAACAAGTTGGAAATACATTGGCAGTACATCACAAACTTCAAATTGTTTTTAACAAATGCTGCAGAGCAGGTCTCATCTAAGTCATTATCCCTTAAGAAATAGTATTCACATGACAGCATTTCTGCTATAAAAGTAGTTCTTGTGTATGCACAGGGTTTGCACCACACCACAAAGACAGGATTTACCTAAGGTGCATGTTACTTCATTGTATGGTATTAGCTTGTGTCAAATGTATTGTGAGGCAAATGAAGTATGTGAGTTTTCAGGGATTTTTCAGTGTGCATTCGCCTTTGCGGAATCAACTTGGGTATCCCAGAGTGGATTTTCAGTTCTTTGAGAATGGCCTTGTTAACACTTTTCCTTTACAAAAACAACTGTAATCATTAATACAGAGAGAATAACTATTTTTAAATTATCTTTATATAAGACATTGTTTCTGTCACTTAGAAAAATGGTGCCTGTACTTGGTGATGGTGATATATACATAGAGAACTCTATGTATCAGCCAAAACCACTGGAAAACCTAAAGAAGAAAAATCATTATTGTAAACTGCCTATTGTTTGTGTTCCTTCTTTGTAGTACAACCACAACCAGAGGCCTGATCTCTTCTCTGGGTAGCTGGCTTTATTAAAAAACCATATGAAAAAACGTTATGTTATTGAAAAATGCAATCCAGTAGGTCTGTCTTGGGTTTCTGCTTCTGTAGTCAGCCCCTTAAAATGCAGAGAGAAGAATGATTTGCGGCCCCTTCTCTGGACATCCATAGACGCATTCAAAGACTGCTGTAGGTATCTATTTTCTGCTGTGGAAATTTTACTGAGATATCTTTCTAATTTTTTAATCTTGGGCTCCCAAGGGCCCATCCCTTACACTGGTAGCATTTCAGACAACTTGTCTCTTTTACTACCTGATTTACATACCACTATCTGTTTAATGGGGATTAGAGCTGAATTAATTCCATCCAAAAGTATCTATATTGACTGCCTTGCTGTTGCCTGTGGCTGGCTCAGAGAAGAAAAACATGAAAGATATCGTTGATGGTTTCTATTAATATCTACTTCAATAAAATGGGAAATGGCACAACAGCTAGGCAGATGGTGTCTCAGTCTTACCTCCACTGAGGTGATGTTTCAAATGCTTTTGTGGGAGACATTAGGGCAGTTATGATCTAAACTATGGATTTAATGTCCCCAAATGAGAGAGCTGTCCTCCTGCCCCAAAACCACCTCTGCCTGTTCAACCAAGCAAGGTTCCTTTCATCAACATTAGCAGCCATCTCACAGACCTGGCTTTTCATTCACTAATGCACAAAACTGTGATCATACACTGATACTGGAAATCTCTTTGTTTGCTGGAAGCCCAGGAAAATGCCAGCTTGATGATGATGGAAAAGACAAGAGTTGCCTGTCCACTGGATTCAAAATTATTCCTCCAGAGCAATGACACACAGCTTTCCAGGGCATCTGGATAAAAGTATTAAGTGAGCATTATGGAAAAAAATCATTTACCTTTGCCTGTTAGTGTATTCTATCTGTGATGGTTGCAGCCTCAGGTTTGAACTTCTTTTGCCACATAGTGTTGGAGGTTCAGTTCTGAAATTAGGAATACCTTTCTAGCGGCGTAGCTGTTCATTCAGCCTTCATTCCTGAGGATGTGGTCAGTCTAGCTATAAATCCAGCACTAATGCACTAGCTGTGGCACAGAGCTCAGCTATGGGTGAACTGCCCAACTGGTGGCCTCTGCAGCCTGTGCTGGTCTTAATGCTATTGTGGCAATTCTTGCAGGGTGACTGCATCTGGCTAAAACTGAGCCCAAGGGTGAAAATGGGAGTGCAAGCACAAACATGTCATCATCGGTGGGGTGAAATGTTATAGTGTGAGTGGGGAAAAAAATCCTAACCTCATCAAAGTGAGGTTTCTGCATGTATCTGGGAGGTACGTACTTTGATCATAAGACAATCTTGTATGTGAAATGATGTTTTATCCTTGTTTTTAAATGAAGGATTTTGAAATGGAGAAGATACGACCTTACCACTTCATATGGAAATAGAAATACGTGCCATTTCACATCTTCATCATGCCTTGAAAGCTAAGCAGTTGAGAAGGTCCAGTCACCCTCGTATTTGCTCATTCAGCATCAGTTGTGCTCATGGAGGCTGCTGCACCCTGCACCAGCCAGGACCATCCCTGGGCGTGGGGTTGTGCAGACTGGGAGCTACAGCAGCTCTGAAGTGCTGGCATATGTTATACACCATAGGCTGCACTAAAAATTACCACCCATGTCATTTGGTCTCTTCAGAGGAATTTAATGAGCTGTGAGTTATTACATAATTTGATCCCAGGTTATTTGCAGATGCAACAACCATTGTAGCTTCTTCAGCCAACAGATTCAGTCACTAAATAGGTAGCCTTTTAACAATTTTAAAAGTCTGTAAATCATTTCAATGAGCTTGGAGAATACATTAATTAAGAAGCAATGAGATATAAAGCAGTCTAAAGAACCTTCCTCCCACCTTTCTTGTGTCTGTGTTTCTAAACCATGCCTATGCAGCAGTACATGTTCCTTTGCTGCAAACAAACCTAATGACATTGTGAGTGCTCAGGCATTAGCGCATGCGGATACAAATTGAGATTGGATATGTTTAATTTGAAAATGACATCTCTATAACAGAGCTCAAGTAGCAACATCAGGAAAAACTCTGCACTAGATAGCAATAAGTATTTTCTCAATATCCTCTGTACAGCCAGGTAAACATAAATATCAAAGTCATCTGCAGCAATGCCATCTGGTGATTCTCAGTAATATTACACTTCTGCTTAAAAGTGAAACAAACAAAAATCCCAAGGAAATCATGCTGTGTAGCCGGCAGGTTAGAGAAGGACCAAGAGTTATCACTGTATATGCTAATTACGATGCTTCAGCTGAGCAAGCTGTTTTCGTCCATTTGCTGGAATATCTGACCAAAAGGGGTCAGGTATTTTGTGGAAAATCTCTGCGGGGCTGTATAGCCAATTTAAAAAGAAAAATGCAAACAACTTTAAAAATAGACTTTTGCCAGGCAGAATTCAAAAATAAAATTAAATCCTGTGGAGAAGGAATCTATAACTGACTGTAAGCCAGCTGTGTCCAAGCTCTTTTGGACTCCTCAGAACTGTCCTTTCAGAGACAGTTCTGTCCAAAAAGAAACAAGGAATTGGGATTTCAAATTTGATTTCCAGTTGAAGCTAGGATTGGTTTCTGGATCTGTACCAAAATTAAGATATTTCTGCAGAAGTTCTGAAGAAATATAACTTAAGTTAATGCCTTCATGCAGATGTTGAACCTTAAAATAGATTTGAAGAGTGTAGAAAACTGTTTGACAAAGAATTTACATGGTTCATTTCCTCTGTTTCTTTGAGTAATCCTGAAATGCAGTCTGCCTTTGGATCTGCTATCAAATTGCTTAAACCAGCACTTAAAAATGTTTTCTTTTACTAATGAGGAGCTGACCTTGGAGAAGAACACTGTTTCCAATTTCAGAGGCATCTGACTATAGCTAGAGCAAGTTTCATCTTGTCTATCCCAGAAATCAGCTTTATGAATGTTAAGCTCCACTTCACACCAAAAAAAACCCATGTTTATGGAGTCAGTGGAAGTTTTTAATGAGAGAAAATCAGAACAGAGCTCTCGCTGCAACATTTCTAGCTGACTTAAAGCATGATGCAAGACACTCACGGAGATTGCTCTGCTAAGTGCGTGAGAAGGAGCAAGACTGAGCTGTGAGAAAGAGCTATGGAATGTAAAGGCTACACAAATGTTTGGCAGGTTGTACCAGGTTAGTTTACATGTGGCGTTGTTTTATGCCAGTTGAGAACAGGAACTGAAATAAGTTTGATAAATGCCTTTCTA